GTTTACTATTTTGGCCTGGTCAACTCCTGAAGGAAATTCTTAGGATTGTATTGAAGGAAATTGTATTATTTTTTTTTTGTTCGGTTTCATTAAAAACCCTCAAAAGAATCCCCGCTTCCTCTCTCTCTTTTCATGTTGCATCCTTTACCCCTAGACGGGGTGTAACATCTAACTCTTCCATCAAAATCAAACAATCACTGCAAAACCATTTCACCTGTACTCAAAATCAAACGGTGCTCTCAGATCACACACACACAAGAGTCAATAAAATAAACACTACAGAGCATTCATTAGACACTACAGAGAAAAATGGAGAACACTGCATCCAGAACATTACAGAAAAAGTATATTGTATTGAGTAAACAATTTTGCAATTCTGTAAAAAAGTCTAGTAATTGCAGCTGAGTAAGGTGAATATATTGTATAGGCCTACTGTATGTACTGCAAGAATAGTATTGTGCTGAATATTGAATAGTACTGAATGTTTGTATATATTGTCTGCCCCCAAATACACCACTACAAGGCAAATATTCTTTCCACAATCTGAAGTACTGAATTGTTAATTTTCTTCTCTGGATGACTCAGTGAAACTCCGCTATATACTCGGAGAGGATGAGATGTCAAACTAGCTGCTAAATATGTATACACCTTACACACCGTACGAAATGGTTAATTCATTTGCTTTATTTGACAGTCTTCATTGTATATAATTGTAATTATTAATATTAGAAATGCTATCTGCTGTTGCTATTTTGTATTTATTCATTTATTTTCTCTTATTTATTATTAATTTTTTTGTCTCCTTTTTTACTTTGATGGTGTAATCATATTCTGTATTGTATACATCTGAAATGCTCTGGCAATACTGTAACACAAATGTCATGCCAATAAAGCACCTTGTAGAGGAGAGGGGGAGAGAGAGAGTTGTTGGGTTTTGGCTGTGTGTTCTCTTAGTGAGGATTGTTTGATCTTTGAAAGAGATACGAATTTTGTAAGTAGGAATTGTTCGGTTTTTGACCCCATTGCTTGTTATGACGTGGATTTGGATTCTCGTTTTAACTCTGTTTGCCTGATCTTCTAAATAGTTGTATATCATTGTAAATACAGAGGGTTGGGAGAAAGTAAGGAGTTTGACGCCATTTTGTTTATTGTAACATTTTTTGATCTCTGTTTTTGGTTAGGGAGTTAGGTTAGTGTATTTTGTACTTTTTATTTTATTTTTG